CAATTAAAAGATTCCCCAAAGAAAACCTGAGCTAATTTAGACCAAGAGTTAGATGGGGAGATCGAGACTAGGATATTTGAAGAGACTGAGGATCACTATTTTAAGACAAAAGGCAACTAGTTGTGTGGAATGGAGAAAAGTCTTAAATGAGGTTAGGGCCCTTAAAAGTAGAACCAATGTTATTGATAAATAAACCCTATAGAACCAATGATGATGATAAGTATATATATATCATCATTGGTGCAACAGCCTCGTGGTGGGCCAAGGCTGTCTGTCTGTTGGCATATTTCAAGACAGGAGATGTTTTTCTTCTTACGGGGGAGGGTTGTCAGTCTTACGCCCAATGCTCTACAGTCCTATTACACCGGGACCTACGGTTTAAAGTAAATTCCGAACCATTACAAACACCTATGGCACGCCGGGACTCGAATCTGAAACCTGTGGCACCGAGTGCTAGTCACTCAGCTAATATATATATATATTAGCCGGTATGTTTGGAAATGCATTACGGAAAGGATAAACAATATTTAATGCTAGTTCTTTTCTTTCACATATTGTATTTAATTTTTATATGATTATTTTAGTCTATCACAGACATATAATATTTAAATCTATCACAGATTTTAAGTATTTTTTTATCTATTTGACAGATAATTTCTGATTTTAATTTCTAATAGCAAAATTTAGTTAATAAAATCGGTTATGCAGTAAAGGTACTGAATGTGTTTAGAAAAAGCAAGCACTTTATGGTTACAGAAAAAAGAAAATTAACCTATGTATTTCTCATTAACAAGCTTGTTCATTTATCGAAATAAATAATTATTTTGAAAGATTATTTTATTAATCTTTTATTTATCGAACATACAGCGTGTCCTCGGTAGTATAGTGGTAAGTATCCCCGCCTGTCACGCGGGAGACCGGGGTTCGATTCCCGCCGGGGAGAATTTTTTTTTTGTTAATTTCTTTTATTTGGTGGAAAAAATTAATTAATTAAATTTCTAGATGTACATAATTACGCAACCAAATAGTTAAATTGTAACATTTTTGAGAAAAATGCAAAATATTTATTTTAAAATAAATTTTGAGTTTCATATATTTCTCGCTTAAAATTACATATAAAAAAAGTAAAAATACTTCTCATTTCCAAAATAAACGGTATTATCACAATATATTTATAAAAAAACAATAACTAGAAACTTAATTCCTTAAAAAGAACTAAAGGAATTAAAATAACAAATTAGCATTTTTAAAATAAATATAGTACAAACTAGCATTTTTTTCATTTTCTTTTACTACATTTCGTAGTATTTTATTTTCCTGTTTTTTTTATTATCAGTTAATAGTTATCAGTTTGGAAAAAAAATCACCCGTTTCTTTATTATCAAATGATAACACTGGTAGCATACATTTAAAATATTTTTTTAATCAATAATAAGTTATTGAAACGCTTTGGTATGCAAAGTACAAAGTCCTTCCTTTTTGCTACTGCTTTCTTAATAGAATTAAGAATTTATCGAAAATTGCTTTGAATAACTTTACCGGTTAAAATAAATAAAAAATTATCGCAGTTTGGCCATAACATTCTAGGAAGTAAGATTAGAATTTTTAGAATCAAATAGTCCTTTTCTAAAAGAGTATGTATTTAATAAAACAAAATAATTTTTTTTTTTTTTTTATTGTACTATCAATAGTAAAAAAAAAAAAAACTATCTACGTTTTGATAAATCACACCACACCTTTACCCGAGGCCCATTAGCTCAGTTGGTTAGAGCGTCGTGCTAATAACGCGAAGGTCGTGGGTTCGATCCCCCCATGGGCCAAGAGCATTTTTTTTAATTTAAAAATTATGCATAATAATAGTGGTAGAAGAATTTAAAAGAATTTCGTTGCTCTATGAAAAAGTTTAATTTACTTTTTTTTTTGTAAATGTTTTTTAATTTTAATAAGGATAAAATAATCGTTTAAGGCATAGTACATTGAGCATTTTTTTATGCAGTAACTTATCCTCATAAATTTAAATGGCTTATAACATATTAAAAGCCATCGTGGGTTCAATCCCCATGGGCCAGAGTCCTTTTTATTATTTAAAAATTATGCATAATAATAGTGATTGAAGAATTTAAAAGAATTGCGTTGCTCTATGAAAACTTTTAATTTACTTTTTTTAGTAAATGTTTTCAATTTTAAAAAGAATAAAATAATCGTATAAGGCACAGTACATTGAGCATTTTTTTTATGCAATAACTTAACCTCATAAATTTAAATAGCTTTTTAACATATTAAAAAAAAAAGGAAAGAAATTTTTAAAATTCAAGGGAAATCATAATTAAAATATGTTTTTCATCATACAATCAATCATAAACAAAATTCTATCAAATCAATCAATCATATGCAAAATATTTTTTCTTATATCAAAATGCAACATTTGAATCACAAACATCAACACTTATCACACAATATGTCATTGTCGATTAATAATACCTGTCAAGATATTGCTTTTTTTATGCCAATATTGACAATGTGTTGTATACAGTAGTGGTTTCCAGCAAGAACGATTTGCTTCTAAACGCAAACGATACAGCTCAGAGCGCAAACGATTCTGTTCGCTTATTTGCATATGTACTCAGACTATTTTGTCCTTTATCGTGCATTCTTTAGCCGTCCTTACATTTAACTACTACAATTTTCTTGTATCAACCTACTGAATCGGGCCTGAATGGCCAGTGTCTGGCGCTCGGTGCCACAGGTTCGGGTTCGAGTCCCGGCGGTGTCATGGTTGTTTGTAGTGGTTCGGAATCCACTTTAAAAAAGTAGGTCCCGGTCCTAATAGGATCGTAGAGCGTTGCGGGGCATTGTTACTCCGCGTCCGTGGCTTATCTTCAAGTTACACGCGACCCCCTGGGTAATGCAAAGTGAGTACGTCTGTGCAGCACTTGTCTTAAGGCATCCAAAGACCAAGCTGTCTGTATTTGCCAGCTGCATTAAAAGAAAAAAATATGAAAATGAAATGAAGAATTAGAACAAATAAAGAGATCTATGATTGTTGCGAGGAATCAGATACTAGTGAGTTTTTGCATACCGTATTCTGGACGTCCGTTAGCTTTTCTCCCTAGCGCGCATGCTCATAGGAAATTGCGCATGCGCATCTGTAATAATGTTTCCCATGAGCATGCGCGCTTGGGAGAAAAAGCTAACGGACGTCCAGAATACGGTATGCAAAAAAATCTCTACTGTCATGGAGATAAGAGATGGAGAAGCCAATGACTAGGTCCCGTTTTCTCTTACATAGCTAGGTCACGTAGAGAACACGGGGCCGCATAGAACAATTAAAAGATTCCCCAAAGAAAACCTGAGCTAATTTAGACCAAGAGTTAGATGGGGAGATCGAGGCGAGGATATTTGAAGAGACTGAGGATCACTATCTGAAGACAAAAGGCAACTAGTTGTGTGGAATGGAGAAAAGTCTTAAATGAGGTTAGGGCCCTTAAAAGTAGAAAATAAACAATATTATTGATAAATAAACCCTATAGAACCTTGTAGAACCAATGATGATGATGATAAGTATATATATATATCATCATTGGTGCAACAGCCTCGTGGTGGGCCAAGGCTGTCTGTCTGTTGGCAGATTTCAAGACAGGAGATGTTTTCTTCTTACGGGGAGGGTTGTCAGTCTTACGCCCAATGCTCTACAGTCCTATTACAGCGGGACCTACGGTTTAAAGTAAATTCCGAACCATTACAAACACCCATGGCACGCCGGGACTCGAATCTGAAACCTGTGGCACCGAGCGCTAGTCACTCGGCCAATATATATATATAATTATCCGGTATGTTTGAAATGCATTACGGAAAGGAAAAACAAAATTTAATGCTAGTTCTTTTCTTCCACATATTTTATTTAATTTTTATATGATTATTTTAGTCTATCACAGACATATAATATTTCAATCTATCACAGATTTTAAGTATTTTTATCTATTTGACAGATAATTTCTGATTTTAATTTCTAATAACAAAATTTAGTTAATAAAATCGGTTATGCAATAAAGGTACTGAATGTGTTTAGAAAAAAGCAAGCACTTTATGGTTACAGAAAAAAAGAAAATTAACCTATGTATTTCTCATTAACAAGCATGTTCATTTATCAAAATAAATAATTATCGAAATTTTTTGAAAAGATTATTTTATTAATCTTTTATTTATCGAGCATACAGCGTGTCCTCGGTAGTATAGTGGTAAGTATCCCCGCCTGTCACGCGGGAGACCGGGGTTCGATTCCCCGCCGGGGAGAATTTTTTTTTTTTTTTTTGTTAATTTCTTTTATTTGGAAAAAAATTAATTAATTGAATTTCTAGATGTACATAATTACGCAACCAAATAGTTAAATTGTAACATTTTTGAGAAGAATGCAAAATATTTATTTTAAAATAAATTTAGAGTTTCATATATTTCTCGCTTAAAATTACATAAAAAAAAAAAAAAATAAATGCTTCTCATTTCCAAAATAAACGGTATTATCACAATATATTTATAAAAAAAACAATAACTAGAAACTTAATTCCTTAAAAGAACTAAAGGAATTAAAATAACAAATTAGCATTTTTAAAATAAATATAGCACAAACTAGCATTTTTTTTTCATTTTCTTTTTACATTTCGTAGTATTTTTATTTTTCATTATCAGTTGAGTTATCAGTTTGGAAAAAAACCCGTTTCCTTATTATTAAAATGAATATGTTATGCTACCAGTTTATTTTCCTTTAAAATATTTTTAATCAATATAAATTATTGTTTTTTATTATCAGTTAATAGTTATCAGTTTGGAAAAAATAAAAAATTATTCTAGGAAGTAAGATTAGAATTTTTAGAATCAAATAGTCCTTTTCTAAAAGAGTATGTATTTAATAAAACAAAATAATTTTTTTTTATTGTACTATCAATAGTAAAAAAAAAGCAAACTATCTACGTTTTGATAAATCACACCACACCTTTACCCGAGGCCCATTAGCTCAGTTGGTTAGAGCGTCGTGCTAATAACGCGAAGGTCGTGGTTCGATCCCCCATGGGCCAAGAGTATTTTTTTGTTAATTTAAAAATTATGCATAATAATAGTGGTAGAAGAATTTAAAAGAATTGCTTTGCTCTATGAAAACTTTAATTTACTTTTTTTTTTAATAAATGTTTTTTTTAATTTTAAAAGGATAAAATAATCGTTTAAGGCATAGTACATTGAGCATTTTTTATGCAAACTTATCCTTATCTTCATAAATTTAAATGGGCCAGAGTCCTTTTTATTATTTAAAAATTATGCATAATAATAGTGATTGAAGAATTTTATGCAAAACTTATCTTCATAAATTTAAATGGCTTTTATTTTAAAAAAAAAAAGAAAAGAAATTTTTAAAATTCAAAGGAAATCATAATTAAAATATGTTTTTTCATCAATACAATCAATCATAAACAAAATTATATCAATCATATCAATCATATATAAAATATTTTTTTTATATCAAAATGCAACATTTGAATCACAAACATCAACACTTATAATACAATATGTCATTGTCGATTAATAATACTGTCAAGATATTGCTTTTTTTATGCCAACATTGACAATGTGTTGTATACAGTAGTGGTATCCAGCAAGAACGATTCTTTTCTAAACGCAAACGATACGGCTCAGAACGCAAACGATTCTGTTCGCTTATTTGCATATGTACTCAGACTATTTTGTCCTTTATCGTGCATCCTTTAGCCGTCCTTTACATTTAACTACTACAATTTTCTTGTATCAGGGCCTGAATGGCCGAGTGGCTAGCGCTCTGTACCACAGGTTTAGTCCCGGCGGTGCCATGGATGTTTGTAGTGGTTCGAATCAAAACGTAGGTTTCGGTCCTAATAGGGTCGTAGAGCGTTGCGAGGGCATTGTTACTCCGCGTCCGTGGCTTATCTTCAAGTGACACGCTCTGGGTAATGCAAAGTGAGTAAATAGGCCAAGCTGTCTAAGTGTTTACCAGTTGCATTGAATAAAAAAAAAAAAAAATTTCTTGTATCAACCTACTACATTAATCACTTTTTTAATTTTCTTAACAATTGTTATTTAGATTAATTAATCAAATAAATATGGCAAGGTTTTTTTTTCCTAGCATATAAATTATTCTTTAATAATAGATCACAAATGAATTGAATCTTTTAATTTTATAAAAGTATCTTCACAAAATATATTTTTTTTTTATTCTTAAAAAACGAATAAATTTTATAATTATAAAAAATACTATAATAAATATTTTTTATTTAATTTTAAAAAAAAAAAAATTAATAGATGATCTATTACAGAATTAGTTGAAATATATTTATTACATTTCTGAATAACTTAAACTTTAAAGTAATTGTTACAAAAATAATAAATAAATAATATATTGTAAGATAATATCTGTATTATTAAAAATATGTATCGATTTTTTTTTATATATATTTATTTTAATTTAATACGCAATTTAAAAACATAATATCCAAAAATTATTTTAAATTTACAAAGCATTATTAAATTTACAAAGCAAATCTTATTCTTACCTACTATATTAAGCGCTATTTAATTTTGTTCACAGTTGTTATTTAGTTTAATTTATCAAATAAACATGGCGATCTTTTTTTTTTTCTAGTATAAAAATTATTCTTTAATAATGATAGATTACAAATAAAAGGAATCTTTTAATTTTAAAAAGTATCTCCACAAAATAGTTTTTTTATTCAAAAACAAATAATTTTTTATAATAATAAAAAATACTATAATAAATATTTTTATTTAATTTTGTAATAAAACTTAATCAATTATCTATTGCAAAATTAGTTGAAATATATTTATTACATTTGCGAAGTAATTTTAACTTCCAAATAAAATAATTATTACGAAAATAATAAATAAATAATATAATGTAAGATAACATACGTATTATTAAAAATGTATCTATAATTTTATATATGTATTTTAATCGAATTAAAATTATTAAAAAATTATTTTAAATATACAAAGCATTATAAGTATATTCTGAAAATCGATTTAATCAATTCAGTCGAAAAATCGATTTATCGACTTTTGCAACGAATAGGTTATGGCATTATAACTTATTCGTTGCAAAAGTCGATATAAAATAATAATAAAACAAAAAATAAAACTAAATCGATGATCTATTGCAGACTTAGTTGAAATATAATTATTACATTTATGAGTAATTTTAAACTTTGTAAATAAAGTAATTATTGCAAAAATAATAAATAATTAATATGTTGTAAGGTAACATATTTCCTATTACAAAAAATGTATCAGGTACTTACATGTTAACGATACCTTGGCGACAGACTTGGCGGTTTTAAGTGTCGCCAATCTAACAGCTGCAGATTTGGCGGTTTTTAAGTGGCGGCAGTCTAACAGCTGCAGATTTGCTGAGTTTTGACGCCATTTTGTAATGCTACGAAAATGCGTATTTGGGATTTGCCAGAAACAGAACAAGATGCAATTTTATTTTTCAGGAGCGAAATATTTTACCAAAAAAACGAAAATGTCCCAATTGGACTGTTTTGAATCCATGTTAAACTCTATATCGGCCTGTTTTCCATTGAAATCTGTTTGACTACTTTGTGTTTAAATAAAGTGTTTTTGACTACTTTGTGTTTAAATAAAGTGTTTTGAATTTTGAAAGCGTTTTTGATTTTAAATGAAGTGTTTTATATATTTTATTATTTGGAACAAATATTTTAAGTGTAGATTGGCGTCACTTAAAAACCGCCAAATCTGTAGCTGCGGTTGGCGCGTGTGCTCTTTATTGGCGCAACTGTCGCCAAGGTATCGTTAATACGTAAGTACCAATGTATCTATCGTTTTATAAATTTATTTTAATTTAATATGCAATTTAAAAACATAATATCCAAATTTATTTTAAATTTACAAGGCATTCTAAGTGTATTCTGAAAGTCGATTTAATCGATTAAGTCGAAACATTGATTTATCGACTTTTTTTTTTAAAGCGTCCTATAACATATTCGTCGTCGATATAAAATAATAATAAAATAAAAAAAGGAATCTTATAGGTGCACGTAATATTCAATAATAAATAACACAGAAATACATAAGATTCCATTTCTGAAATTCTTATCGTCAATAAATATAAAAAATAAAAATGGCATAGAATTATTTACTTCTGATCTGTTGAATTCTTACTGCTTATAAAATGTTTCGTAATAACTAAGTAATAAATCTATAAAATTTTGAAATTCGTAATAGAAATATGTTAAAAAAACAGGTGAATTTCGAATGTCAAAAAATATTACGAATACTTTACAGATGTTATTGATGTCCTTGCAACAAGGCAGTTACAAAAAATTCTTCAGTTTGTGTAAGATATTTATCTTTCCAACTATTCGCTTTCAATGCATCGGAATTTCAACTATTCTTCTGTTCAAATATCGGAAAATAATTGGTTTTCCTAATTCGTTAGGTAAAGAACGAATCTTTGACGTTAGGAAAGAATACCGTCGAATAGCAACGGTGACGTAAATCTTCGTTTGTGCGCTTGCGCAGTTGAGGCAAACGATAACATTGCCAATTAATTATTCAAAAATAGCTAATAACATTGCACCATTATCGTTTGATTTGGACCAAACGATTTAAAACTCACGTTGTCCATCGAACGTGAATAATCCACGAACGTGAATCAAAACGATTCTGATTAAAAACACGTAAAAAGAACAAAAAAAAAAAAAGAAAAGAACATGCTTTACTGAATGGTTAATGCACGCAAATTTATTTTGAAACAGTATTGCATACGTTTGTAATAGAACGAGATGTTGTAAAGAACCAGTGATTTCTGTAACTTATTATGAATGTTTGTCTACATATTTCTGCAGTTTTGAAATTTTATATCGAATTGCGTCTGGTTTTGAAATCTATTCAGGGTTTCAAAAATGCAGTTGAATGCACCCTTAATTTCACAAGTATGACATGCTCATCTTGAAATAATCACATATTTACTGAGTAGAGGAGCAATGTATTAATTACCTTCATATATATTCATACTAGAGGCATAAATATTTATTAAGGTAGAAACGAAAAGAGTATGCTTTATCTTATTAAAATATTTTTATTTATTAAATAGAACACTTTATTTTTTTAATCAATTCTCAGAACACTTTATATTTTTAATTAATTCGCAGAACTCTTTGTGTTTTTTTAAATTAATTCTCAGAACACTACACGTTTTTAAATTAGATAGAACATTTTATATATTTAAATTAAAGAACCTTTATTTTAATTAAATAGAACACTTAATATTTTTAATTAACTCTCAGAAAACTTTATATTTTAAATTAAGTAGAACACTTTATATTTTTTAATTAATTTTCAGAACACTTTGTGTTTTTTAAATTAATTCTCAGAACACTACACATTTTTAAATTAAATAGAACCTTCATTTTAATTAAATAGAACAATTTATATATTTAAATTAAGTAGAACCTTTATTTTAATTAAATAGAACCTTTATTTTAATTAAATAGAACACTTAATATTTTTTTAATTAACTCTCAGAAAACTTTATATTTTTAAATTAAGTAGAACACTTTATATTTTTAATTAATTTTCAGAACACTTTGTGTTTTTAAATTAATTCTCAGGACACTACACGTTTTTAAATTAAATAGAACCTTCATTTTAATTAAATAGAACATTTTATATATTTAAATTAAGTAGAACCTTTATTTTAATTAAATAGAACACTTAATATTTTTAATTAACTCTCAGAAAAACTTTATATTTTTAAATTAAGTAGAACACTTTATATTTTTTAATTAATTTTCAGAACACTGTGTTTTTTAAATTAATTCTCAGAACACTACACATTTTTAAATTAAATAGAACCTTCATTTTAATTAAATAGAACATTTTATATATTTAAATTTAGTAGAACCTTTATTTTAATTAAATAGAACCTTTATTTTAATTAAATAGAACACTTAATATTTTTAATTAACTCTCAGAAAACTTTATATTTTTAAATTAAGTAGAACACTTTATA